ATACAAGATAGGCTGGTAGGTAAGTAGATAGTCAGAGAAAGAGAGAGAAAGAGAGGAGACCTCAAGCACCTTTCGGTCCATCAGTGGATTCGCTCTGCCATCCCTGATTCACAACAGCCAATCTCTCCTATAGGTTTCCTATTTTTGAAACTTCCGCCACCGCCTTGTGCGGTACTACTGGTACACTACCTGACTAGCTGGTTTATTTAGGAAGTACCATTGTTAGTCAACAACATGAAATATTTCATTATTTATACTATGATACTATGATATGATACTATGATCCATTGTGGAAGGCCCCGCACGATTAGGAAACTATACGCGATTTAGAAACTACGATTACGAAACTACGATTAGGAAACTATTCCGCGCGATTTAGAAACTACTGCGCGCGATTAAGAAACTACGATTAGGAAACTATTGCGTGCGATTAGGAAACTACGATTAGGAAACTATTCCGCGCGATTAGGAAACTATTCCGCGCGATTGGGAAACTACGATTAGGAAACTATTCCGCGCGATTGGGAAACTACGATTAGGAAACTATTCCGCGCGATCAGGAAACTACGATTAGGAACCTATTGCGTGCGATTAAGAAACTACGATTAGGAAACTATTCCGCGCGATTAGGAAACTACGATTAGGAAACTATTCCGCGCGATTAGGAAACTACGATTAGGAAACTATTCCCCCCCCTAAACCTTTACATGCAAGAGTATTCTCAACTTCACAGTCTCCCCTCTCCAAGACTTCTTGTCACGATTCCAAGTACTTTTTTAAACTTCCCCCCCCTAAACCTTACATGCAAGAGTATTCTCAGCTTCACAGTCATCCCTCCCCAAGACTTCTTGTCACGATTCCAAGTCATTTTTTAAACTTCCCCCCCCCTAAACCTTTACATGCAAGAGTATTCTCAACTTCACAGTCTCCCCTCTCCAAGACTTCTTGTCACGATTCCAAGTCATTTTTTAAACTTCCCCCCCCTAAACCTTTACATGCAAGAGTAATCTCAACTTCACAGTCACCCCTCCCCAAGACTTCTTGTCACGATACGAAGTCATTTTTTAAACTTCCCCCCCTAAAACCTTACATGCAAAAGTATTCTCAACTTCACAGTCTCCCCTCTCCAAGACTTCTTGTCACGATTCCAAGTCATTTTTAAAACTTCCCCCCCCAAACCTTACATGCAAGAGTATTCTCAACTTCACAGTCTCCCCTCTCCAAGACTTCTTATCACGATTCCAAGTCATTTTTTAAACTTCCCCCCCTAAACCTTTACATGCAAGAGTATTCTCAACTTCACAGTCTCCCCTCTCCAAGACTTCTTGTCACGATTCCAAGTCATTTTTAAAACTCCCCCCCTAAACCTTACATGCAAGAGTATTCTCAGCTTCACAGTCTCCCCTCTCCAAGACTTCTTGTCACGATTCCAAGTCATTTTTAAAACTCCCCCCCCTAAACCTTACACGCAAGAGTATTCTCAGCTTCACAGTCATCCCTCCCCAAGACTTCTTGTCATGATTCCAAGTCATTTTTTAAACTTCCCCCCCTAAACCTTACATGCAAGAGTATTCTCAACTTCACAGTCTCCCCTCTCCAAGACTTCTTGTCACGATTCCAAGTCATTTTTTAAACTTCCCCCCCTAAACCTTTACATGCAAGAGTAATCTCAACTTCACAGTCATCCCTCCCCAAGACTTCTTGTCACGATTCCAAGTCATTTTTTAAACTTCCCCCCCTAAAACCTTACATGCAAGAGTATCTCAACTTCACAGTCTCCCCTCCCCAAGACTTCTTGTCACGATTCCAAGTCATTTTTAAAACTTCCCCCCCAAACCTTACATGCAAGAGTATTCTCAACTTCACAGTCTCCCCTCTCCAAGACTTCTTGTCACGATTCCAAGTCATTTTTTAAACTTCCCCCCCTAAACCTTTACATGCAAGAGTAATCTCAACTTCACAGTCTCCCCTCTCCAAGACTTCTTGTCACGATTCCAAGTCATTTTTTAAACTTCCCCCCCCTAAACCTTACATGCAAGAGTATTCTCAGCTTCACAGTCATCCCCTCCCCAAGACTTCTTGTCACGATTCCAAGTCATTTTTTAAACTTCCCCCCCTAAACCTTACATGCAAGAGTATTCTCAACTTCACAGTCTCCCCTCTCCAAGACTTCTTGTCACGATTCCAAGTCATTTTTTAAACTTCCCCCCCAAACCTTTACATGCAAGAGTAATCTCAACTTCACAGTCTCCCCTCCCCAAGACTTCTTGTCACGATTCCAAGTCATTTTTAAAACTTCCCCCCCCTAAACCTTACATGCAAGAGTATTCTCAGCTTCACAGTCTCCCCTCTCCAAGACTTCTTGTCACGATTCCAAGTCATTTTTAAAACTCCCCCCCCTAAACCTTACATGCAAGAGTATTCTCAGCTTCACAGTCATCCCTCCCCAAGACTTCTTGTCACGATTCCAAGTCATTTTTTAAACTTCCCCCCCCTAAACCTTACATGCAAGAGTATTCTCAGCTTCACAGTCTCCCCTCTCCAAGACTTCTTGTCACGATTCCAAGTCATTTTTTAAACTTCCCCCCCCTAAACCTTACATGCAAGAGTATTCTCAGCTTCACAGTCATCCCTCCCCAAGACTTCTTGTCACGATTCCAAGTCATTTTTTAAACTTCCCCCCCTAAACCTTACATGCAAGAGTATTCTCAACTTCACAGTCTCCCCTCTCCAAGACTTCTTGTCACGATTCCAAGTTATTTTTTAAACTTCCCCCCCCTAAACCTTTACATGCAAGAGTAATCTCAACTTCACAGTCTCCCCTCCCCAAGACTTCTTGTCACGATACGAAGTCATTTTTAAAACTTCCCCCCCTAAAACCTTACATGCAAAAGTATTCTCAACTTCCAAAAGTGTTCCGACATTGGTGTGTTTTGTACATTTTGACTTGGAAATGTGCTTCGCGCCACAACGGCGTGCAATTTTTCATTTCTCATCTGGCCAGCTGGCTCCGCACCCGCCGCTTTAGCGAGCCTACTTTTCGACCCTCCAGAGCCACAAATCATTGGAAAAACATAGTGAATCGCGACTTTCCTACCTTTTCGCGCATCTGCATCTTCTTTCTTCTGATCTTTTCTCTTCTGACTCTTCTCACCTCTGCTTTTCAACTGTCCATATTGTCGGAAGTTTCACTTCTAAACTTCCTTCGATTATAGTTTCCAAATCACGTGCCTTAGTTTCCAAATCATAGTTTCCAAATCCGCGGTTCCTAGTTTCCAAATCACACCTCATAGTTTCCAAATCATAGTTTCCAAATCCGCTGTTATAGTTTCCAAATCACGTGCCTTAGTTTCTAAGTCATAGTTTCCAAATCCGCGGTTCCCAGTTTCCAAATCACACCTCATAGTTTCCAAATCATAGTTTTCAAATCATAGTTTCCAAATCCGCTGTTCCCAGTTTCCAAATCCGCTGTTATAGTTTCCAAATCATAGTTTCCAAATCATAGTTTCCAAATCCGCTGTTTTAGTTTCCAAATCACGCGGTGACCATTGTGGAAGGCCCCTTTTGAGGGGAGTATGGAAGCATGATTGAAGATTTTGAACACTGCTCATGTAGGAAGGGCACCAGCAAAGATGGTGACTGTACCAACATGTACCAACCAAAGTCCGGCCATGGCCATGGTGGCTCATTTTTTACCAGACTCACCTGGCCAGATGATTTGTTTCATGTTTACATGCTTGAGCCCGTGTTTTTTGATTATGTTCCAATATGTTTCATCAAGATGTGAGGTGATGTTCCATTTGTTGACCAATCTATTTTTGCCGCCATGTCTTTTGTCAATGCGAAATTGGTTTTACCAGTTAAATAATACAAACTTGTTTTGAAACATAAAATTTTCACACATGAAGTTGTTTCCCAAATGACGAAAGCGTTGCGTTGCGCTTTTACGTCGCGCGCCCGCAACGGCGCAACGTGAGGAGCTGATTCCCTTCTTGGATTTGTGCTCTGCTCTGGCTGGGTCTGTGGGTCCCATGGCGATGTCGTCCCACTGAAGTGCTGAGGTCAGTATAATTACGTATGGTATAGTGTTTACCCCCTGGGAACTTAACATAGCTATTGAACATGGCCATAGAAATAGTGGATTTACCCATTGAGCATTGTAATTTTCCATAGTTGTGTTAGATTATATAAATGTGGTTTGAGTGATTATGGTATAGTGACTATTCCTTATGGTATATTACATGTGGTCACTGAAATAGTCACTATTACATATGGTCAGTATTATTTGATCCCATGTGGATTTGCATGTCAATAATGATGAAATATATCGTAATTACAATATAAATCGATATATGATGTGTGTATATATATTTATAATAATAATAATAATTCATCACCCGGTGATAGTATGTTCCCCAAAGTTTCAATGTACAATAGCAAGGGTAACAGTATGGATTTTAACCTGAATATTGTTAGACTATTGTTCGGCGATTTAATCAACAAAATATGAGTATAAGGTGGTAAATTCTTGTGAGCCCAATGCATTAAACCACCTTTGTAATCCATGAAGGGTGGTCATGTTGCATCACTGCCGGGGGCATACCCTGGCTGCCATGGCCACCTCACTTGGGGATGGTTTGTGGCGCTTTGCCTCATTGGTTTGTGGTTGTTTGTGTTCCTGCTTGATTATCCCAATTGGTTATGTAATATGATTCAAACAACAATTGATGCCGGCAGAAAGACATTGAGGGCAGAGAGAGAGAGAGAGAGAGAGTCAATCTTACTAGTCAATAATGATTTGGGAATTCGGCCATAGATATGTGTTGAAAACTCAGCATTTAGCTGTGTAATGTCGCTAATCAGCAAAACACACAATCAACCACCATGATGATAAGTGTTATGAAATCAGTGTTAAGCATATTTAGCATGTTCACTTGGAACTGAATGCATTGCAGCTATACTTGATATACGCTTAGTTTTGTTCCGTTTCTTTGAGGATTGATTAGGTGTTGATACTGTATATATTATATATATATATAGCCCAGCACATATTTTCATTTGTTCGCAGGGCAAATCAACAAATCACCATATTTTCATGGTAAAATATCATCGTGTCCTGCTTAAATCGCAGAAATTACAAGTTAAATCCACATGTCTGTAGGAAATTCAAAGTTTTTCCTGGTTGCCTTTGCATTTGCACCAGTTCAATCTGGTGTGATTCCATCCCGATTCCCTCCTGCCATTGTGTTTTTGTCATTTGTGATGTTGTGTAAATGCCAGGCTGATACTGGTTCAATGCACATGTTTTCACATACTTGTAAGTTTCTTAAAATGGTGAATCCAAAAAATCCTGGGTTTCAAGACGAAAAATACGGATGATGTGGGGGTGCCCGAATGACTCCCATAGTAATCACAAAAAATCACCATATCACCAATATATATATATATAGATAGATACACATAATAATTGGTGATTATTGGTGATTTTTGGTGATTATAGATATAATCAAATCACCAATAATCACAAACAATACACCAGATTATAGATACCTAATATCAACAGTTCAACACATCACCCAACCGGCACGGCCTCAGGTGACTCACTGTTCAGCTCTCGGCAGCTGGCGCCGTTGTCACAGCTCTGTGTGGCAGCCCTGGGGTCCACTGAGCGGGGAAGCCCAGGGGCTTCCAAGCAGCGGTACCAGGAGATTCCATATTATATGCATAGTTATAGGTACATCATTTTACATGTTTACCATGTATGCATAATTATATATATAGTTCTTTATTTGTTTATTTTTTTTGGTTTGCTGAGTTTATCAATATTTATATATATATATATACATACTAGCTGTGTTTTATAGTCAATAACATGTTTGATATCCTGATATATTTGTATTTAGTATGGCTTTCATCCACTTGTAATGTTTTCATTGCGATTCGGTGTTTCTAGGTGATCCGGGATCACAAGATGGCTACAGTATCCGCAGTTTTGCTTGCTCCCATTGTTGCAGCCCTTGGTTTAAGGGAAAATGTCAGGAAACAACGTTCATTTCAGGGTATTCTTTTGTATGTAAACCCCGGATTGAAACCTTGGTTGGTTAATCAGGGGATACCCCTCCCCCAAAAAAACACATATGCATATATTTATATATATATATATACACATGCATATAATTTTCTAAAATCACATGTGCACATATTTACTTTTTAGTATATATATATACATATATATATATATACATATTTTTATATAGTCAACACTTGCCCCCCCTCACATTAAACAGCCCGGCGGTTTGGCAAACTCCAGGGGTATCAAGTATGTCCTTGTCCCAATCAGTGATTAAGGACCAACGCATCACATTCATTCACAAACATTTCTGGGAGCATCTTCTGCAGATTCCAGTTGGAGGATCGTCTCATAGATTGTTAGGGGCAAATCTAACTAATAGGCGCTGATCTCATTTTGTAGAGTTACCCAACGTATCTCTGTATTCTAACGGTTACTCAGTGGTAGGGTCCAAAGGGAAGTCGAGGTAGGTGATACTGTAAGCTGGCAATCTTGATGTGTATATAATATAATACATTATGTATATATATATATATTTATTTATTCACACATTTTCCTTTTGTATGGATGATCAGTTCCTTGTACCCGATACATAGAGGTTTTACAAAACATCCAGTCTATATTGACTATATTTGAATATAATTTTCCAGGTACGTATCTCGATCAATATATTCACTTGTACATCTATTTAGATCCGCGTACCTTCCAAGTTAAGGCTTAGGATTTTGCCAACATCAGCTAAAATCCATATAATTAAGGGGTTGCGGTACATCGAATAGTCAACTGAAACAGACTAAACTCATACGAACCAAGTATACGTGTATATATATATATATACACATTATGCAGTAGATATACCAACTCTATATTACTCATCATGCTAATACATCAATATACATATGTAGATGCATTGCGAAATATATATATATATCACACATATACTACTTGTGTTGGATATATTTAATACCCTCTGGAACTTTAACATAACTATTGAACATGGCCCATTTATAGTCGATTTACCTATTCAAAATAGTGATTTTCCATAGCTATGTTAGTCATAACCAGAGGGTACATGTTCACTAAGCACCCATCAACCTTAGGCACGAGGTGCTGAAGCCTGCGCTGCTCTTCCTACAGCGTTTGCTGACCTCGCGCTCGGCACAGCTGTCGTCCACGGACGTCGCTGCGTTGGCGCAGCAGGTGGTGGGACGATTTCATCAGTGGCCCAGGAGGGCCCCCCATGGGAGGATGCCCTGGAAGTAGCTACAGTACGATAGATTTATTGCTATATTATTTCTCATCATCATCATGCTATATATTATATATATCATACATTATATTATTATATTATGGTATAATTAGATTAATTTGGATTATTTTTTTGCTTTTCTATTATTGCTGAGGCACCATTTGGGATTTCTTACCAATCAGCTACACCAGACTCTTGTCATCCGCTCGGTTATGAACAAACGCCTGCGGCATCGTTGGCACAGTGCCTAGGAGCATGAGCGGAGGGATCTTCAAGGTTTTCTCCGCTATGGCTGAGAGTAACTCGGACATATCGCTTCCTGCTGGTTGGCGAATGTTGGTTGGGATTTTGGGGATATAACTGATATAACCTCTGGTTAACGTTACAAAACAGGTCATTCCAGAAATCCTGGGGTTTCTCTTGGAAAGACATCTGCAAATGGTGAATTTTCCATAGCTATGTTACAGGCTATGTTCGTCTACTGGAGACTAGTTTGGACGGATTGCAGCCATACATTGATATTTTAGGTTCAATTTGTTGCTTCACTTTTCGGACTCAACGGGTTTACCCTGGTGTCCCATCACGGTTAACACTTTTAGACTTTTAGCTTTGCATTATGCTGTTCAACAGACCGTCCTGAAATGCTATGACCCATTGGTGATTAGTGACATTTCCAGGTGTGGCGCTTTTTTCTTTTTTTTGGTGTCTTTGTTTGGAACTAACTTTCTTCATTTGTTTCCACGACATCAAGAGCGGTACGAATCCTATGGTGTCCTCACTCCTAACCATTAATTTGGCAACACAGACAAGTCCTATACTCTCATCAATTGCGCCTAACATTGAACATTCATGTTTTTGGTCATGGTTTCCCTTCAGGCAAGCATGGGACAACTTGTACTTTCTATGTTTTGAGCTTCATTATAGTTGACTAAAAATGAGGTTGACGATTCAGGAAAAAACAGAGACTTCCAATTTAAGCATTAAACCCCTAACTGGGCTGTATCCACCAGAACAATAACCTTTCAGAAAAAAATGGTTGGGTTTCATGTTGAATGTAGAATACTCTCCTGTAAGCTAACATAGATGTGGAGCACCCACGATTTGTAGATCATGTTTGGAACGGGTTTCCCCATAGGTTTGTTTTCCACATCTACGGTAGTTTACCCTACAGGGTGCTACTCCCCAGTTGTAAGTTGGCTTATTCCCATCAAGTCTATAAGTTATAGCCCCCAAAAACATGAGTTCTTGGGGTTAGAAACTAACTTAGCTCGCGAACTGCGGCACCAGTCGGGTAATTATGTGATTTTTGGTTGGCGAACCATAGAAGGCGCGATTTTCAAGGTCCAAAGCGCACCATATAAGGCGCCTTATTTTGCAGGGATATTCCCTTACAAAAAAATAGGAACAATGATATATCCCTACAATAGCCGTACAACATATATAATTATGGGATATATTGGCTTATGGTAGGTACCTCCAATAATTCGGTTCTGAAATGGCCATGGATTTCCATATGGCTTTTCGCGGTCAGGACACGAACCAATCTACCTCTCAACGGTGGCGGCTGCGGGCTCCGCTGGTTCCACAGCACCCTGCATGGCTTCATTGTCCGCCGCCGATCGGTGACTTGGCCAGGAAGCTGCTCCCGCCGTTCTGGGGTATAAGAAGTTCCATTGGGGAATCATTCCATTTAGTTCCTATACCCTCCGGTAAACAAACATAGCTATTGAAAATGGCCATAGAAATAGTTGCTTTACCCATTTAAAGTGTTTGTCCATAGTTATGTTAGTTTACCAGAGGGTATGGGGGGGTTCATTTTATTGATATATGTTGGTGGTAAAATTATCATTATGTTGGTGATGGGCAAAAATTATCTGGTGTATATACAGTAGACCCACTATCATTATTTATATAGAGGGTTTTAGTAAATTTGGTATGTGTTTTGTATGAAGTGGGTAAAAACAGGCAACTCCAATCCTGAAAAGGACGGTGGTTGTAAAATCCAATCTCAATGAACTTTTGAAATCCATATGTTCCAATGTTTCAAGATTAACTCCCCACGTTTGGTGTGTTAAATGGTAATGTTTTGCGGTTGGAACCATTCCAATAAGCCCCAGCACCAATTGTTGGGGGTTGATCGTTTGGACCCATATTGTTGAGTGTACCCATCTCATTGTATGTATGTATGTGTGTATATATATATATATGTATGATATGTATATGTATATATATGATATGTATATATATATGTATGATATGTATATATATATATATATGGCATGACCTCCCATTATATACCAATTAGATATCCAACAAAATCAAACTTTCTCGCTGGCTGAATGATATGTGTTCATGGATTAAATCCAGATGTTTGATGTTTCAATCACTATTTTGGATGGTGAAATTTTCATTGTGAGTGGCGAAAATCCCCATTTTGGCTGGTTAGATCCCTATCTTTGGTTAAATCTGTTAAATCCCATTGTTGCTTGTTAAATCCACATCTTCAATGGTTCAATCAGTGTTGAAGGTTAAATCATCGTGAAACCGCCAAGGCCAAATCCCAATTTGATGTCCCACAGTTATGGCCCGAAATACCGGTGATAAGTGAGTAAGTCAGCCCAGTTATGTAATGTATAACCCCATTTATAACCACTTAAAACTGATACTATGGGCTTAAACTTCCCATTTTCCATCATTTTCCTACGGTTTTCCGAAAGCTAAAGGGCTAAAGCCAGGGTCTCCCACGTCCCATCGCAGGCAGCTTGCGCAGCAGGCCATGGCCCGACTGCGCGGTCCGCGGCTGAAGCACTTGCTGCAGGAGTTGGGCGATATTGCGCGGGGCGAACACACCGTGGAGACTTGGAGAACTGTGAAGGTGATTTTGGCGGTTTTGATGGAGCTTTGGTACACAGATATAGGGGGAATATTACGGAATCCAAAATCATATAACATTATGATGAAGGTTTAGTTGATGATGTTTATGGATTTTAGTAACCAATAGATAACCATTAGTTAAGCTTTAGATATCCACTAGTTCTTAGTCGATGGATTTGTGTGAAACCTTGGGTTTGAATGGAAAAATGACCATAGTTTTGGATCTGTTGATGATTTTGATTGCCCCTTACGAACCAGATAACCATTGGCTAACACAAGTATATAACCACTACTCACCATTGCCCGTGACTTTTTGAGTCGATGGTTTGGCTTAGTTTCCCACCATGGCCGCACTAAATCAAGGTTTCAACTGTAATCTTTGTTTTGCGGTTTGTTGATGATTTGGTTTTTTTCCCAATAGAAAAATCCACTGCGGAATCGATTAAGGGAGTAGTTTTTGTTTTTTCTTTGGGTTTCCTGAAGCAAATCCAAGGATATGTTGCAGAGCTTTGCGGAATGACAAAAAACCGTTGAGCGGAGTGGTCGGGTGATGGGCGAAAATGGCGATACGCGGCTAAGCTTCTGGATGATGCAAACATAAATCACTGGCGTTTAACCAGAAAAATGATGACACAGTTTTATGCAGATGGTTGGGTGATGGGTTCAACGGTTCAAAGTTGGCTGATTAAAAAAATGAAGATTCAAGCTGCGACAAAAGGGATGTTGGGAGATACTGTAGTGAAACTATATGAGACTGATGCATTTTTGGGGACAAGTTTCGTGATGCGTAATGAAGTGTGTGGCTGCATAGTTTATGATGGTTTACTGTTGTCATGCTGGGTTTTGAATTGGACACAGCAGGCAGCCTCACGTAATTTCCTCCCATCATCTCGATGATGGTGAAGATTGGGGAAATCATCATCCCACAATGTTTTTTCATGATATATTATATTTTGACTTGGGAACATTTGTAATTTGTCCAAATGCTGGTAGATGTGTGGGGAACACCCTGGTTTTACTTGGTAAGATCATAGACTGGTCTTGAAATACGGTTTGGTGCTGAAAGTAGCAACACGTCGAGCCACACAGATGAATGCGGAATGCACACAGCTACCGGCTACCGGTCCGATGAATGTAGCCGTGGCTTAATTTTCTGTTGTTACCTGATACCATAAGGTTAAATATGTTTTGTTTTATTGCAATGTGACAGTGTGTTTTAGATAAGTACAAAACATGATCATGATGATGATGATGATGATGATGATTGTTATTATTATTACAATTATTTTTATTTTTATTTTTAATTATTATTATTGTTGTTATTATCACTATTAATTATCATTATTATTATTATATATCAATATGTCAATATACATATAGGTGCAGGTGTTTTGTATGCAGCCCTATCATTTGCACGTTTTGCAGTTTTTGGGCTTACTCAAAGTCGGCCCTTTGTCAGCCCTTTTCCCCCGCCATAGCCAGGATGCCATTGACGCACTGAACGACAACTACAAGTCATGGGCTTACTTCGGAGATGAATGCTGAGTGGTCATTTTACCTTATTTGAGTCAGGTGAGTATGACTTATCGGCTATATTTGGTTGGGCCCAAGATGGCATTTGATATTGTCATTTTTAGCATTAAACTGCACAATGTTTCCATGTTTGTTCGATATTCTCTGGAGCCAGAACCACGGGTCGGACATTCTCAGAGAAACTGTTGATTCAGTCAGTCAATTTTGAGGGTTCAATGATGTCGTGAAATCCAACCTTGCGCAAACTCCAATCAGTCAGATCTAGTGAAATCGTGAACTCCAAAAAGCCACATGTCAATTCAGAGTGGGTGGATGAAGATTGGTTGTCCTATTTCCAGGATTCGAGAGGAGAAAGACTGCAAGCCAATGAAGGTCTTCATTGCGCCGGTTGATTGGGCATTTTGGGAGCTTCCATGGCTTCCATCCATACATTTGGGGTATACCGTGCAGTTTTTGATGGTCAGATCAGAGCTGAGGGTCAAAACCTACCCATAACTAGAGGGGTGATGATGTTGTGACCCATCCCCATTTTGAGAAGGGATACCAGGGCTGATCTGGATCCACTACTCCCATTCACGAAGGACATGGGTGACACGGAGTTTAATATTATTTAGTGTGCAGGTAAATCCGCCCCAAAGCATGTTTCAAGTACGGAAATGATGTTGCAAACTCGATATGTGCAGCATTGTGGCGGTAGTTTGCTCCCTGCATGGTATCTTTTGATTGACAGGTTCGGGAAAAAACCCTCATTCAGCACAGCCAACAGGAAAATTATATATACATGTATATATGGTCTGCCGAACCCACCGCCTTCCCCATGCCCAAAGGACATGATTGGATGATTGGACATTTCTGGCTCACAGGATAGGCCAGGCTCGCAGACATGGCAGTCAAGCGGGAGGCGATCCGAAACATGGCCCGATCCGATTGAAATGTTTGTGCTTTATGGGATAGGTGTCAAATATTCCAACAACTGTCTATTGGTTCGTTAAATCACTCGTAGGACCTCCTGAAATCACCACAAACCTGAGTTATTCAACTGGTTCACTGTAGATTCTGATGGACAGAGGTTGTTACAATCAAACTTTTGTGCCTTGTTATTCTAAAGAGATAAGCTTAGCACCCTGGGGTTCTATCCCCCTGGCCTGCAGGCTGGCTTGGCACAGATTCACGGCTCCGCACGGCTCTTCCGCGAGTGCGCTGCGGTTTTGGGAGGGGGATATGAATGAAACCAAGGAAACAGATCGTGGGTAAAAGCCGCGAAAAAGGATGGTTTCACATCATGGAAAATTCATGTTTAATTGTGCTTGACGAGCAGAAAAGGTGGTTTTAAGTGCAAAAGATGGTGGGTTTAAAATGCCATATGTTTATGAACCAGCAAAACCATTGGGTCAATGCAAAACAGGGGGGGTTAGGGGTTTAACAAATGGAATTGCCACTGCAGGCTAGCCCTGCTGGGGAAGTGGAACAGAGGAACTGAAAGCCACGGGGATCCTCAATTTCAAGAAGCCCTTAGATCATGAATGTGAATGTGTGGATGTCCATCTCACATATCGCAACTGGTTTGTGGGAGGACCCAAAGCCGAAAGCCTTTTTCTTGCCGTGAGAACAAGTCTGACCATCATGTTACAAATGACAATTCAATAAGTGGTCATCAGAGTTCCCTCTGTGGCTGGAAATTTGATGTTGGTTCATCCTGCAAAAACAAAGATGGAATGAACAATGGAAATGGAGAACTGGACCAGAAAACATGTGGTGGTTGACCATCAAAGTTGTGATTTATACACATAAAATTCTAAGTTTACTTGACAATTGGGTCATGTTTCCGATCCAGATCCGGTGAGATCATCTCCAGGATCTTCCAAGAGACAAGCAGCGGGGATTTCGGCATCCATATCAAAGATGGTCCGCTGTTCCGTTGCCACACCAGTTCCTAGGGCTTAAAATTGGGCCGAAGGGAGTAATGCAGCCTTGGGGGATCAAAGACGGCAATGGCAAAATGACAACCATTGGATAATTATAGTTATAGACAATTATAATTATAGATAGTTAGTTGTTCAGTTGTTTTTTACTCACAATTTGGCCTCTCCGTGGCCATTGACAAGGGTTGTAAAGATTGTAAAGGTCTAGAGCCTAAAGATATCTCCTGTGGTATGGTCAGGGGCTGCCCTTTATGGTAAAATCTAAAGTAGTCAGCAACAGTCATTTTTCACAAGCAGTAGCTAAGTGTTGTTCTCATACGCAAGCACTGAGCCTGTTATGACGATCCAAATAGCATCAAACAGCTACCCTGTCATGCCAGGAACCACATGATATTGTTTCAACACAGGAAATGCCATCCGAATAAAGCTTCAAAGAGCTGAACATTGGAAACATTTGGAAACCTCATAATATCCCCCGAGTGTTCATTCCTGCAACCTCAGGAATTCTGGATACGTCTGGGGGGTTCTGTGGAAAAGTCAGCAGCTCGGCCGCTTAAGGCATTTGTTTTCTGAATGTTCACCTTTGGGTGGAGCAGTTGGAATGATGACTGAACTCAAATCGGTTTTCCATAGATGGACTGCAAGAGTATGGCTCGATAGTTGCGACTGAATCATCGACAATCGAGTGACATGGTTCGTGTTGATTATTCAATTTTGTAGGTATTAACCTGTCACCAGTAATCACGCAATGAGAAATGGCATGCATCACAAGTTTTAGTTGGGGTAGGGCATCCAGTACCAAGAAATGATCAGTTTTAGATCTCAAAACGTCCCAATGTAATCCATCAAATGGCAAATTTTAGGAGGACTGTCAGAGTTACTGTGAGTTACTGTAGCATGTTTACTTCACGCAGGAATAGTGCCAAATGGAGGACTGGTCATGATAATTCTGTGAAAAGATGCTAGGTTATTGATTGTTATTGTATGTTGCATGTTGGTGCGTGTTGAGTCATCAATCCTCCCCAAATTCAACACCCTTACAGAACTAAGTGCCACTTGTCTTTTGATGAACATTCACCCACTACCTTCCAGTAATCAAACATGGCAATGGACAATCATCCATTTATTTTGTAGATGATTTTCCCAGCCATAAATCTCCATTTTAGGGGACTTTCCAGCTAGACTCGAAGGTACTGTGCCGGTTTCTGCTGGTTTTTGCACGCTCAGGACAGTTCGGGAAGCTGATGAGCCGAAACGCAGACCATGATGAGATTCCAGCTGCCAAAGACTATTTCAAGGCTCAAGGCCAGCAAGATTTCGCCTTTTCTTACTGGTGCTAAAGGTAAATGGTGGAATGGGATGGGATGATTATTAACTATTAATAGTTATTAATAGTTATTAATAGTTATTAATAGTTGTTAATAGTTATTAATAGTTATTTATAGTTATTATGGATCAATGAGCTTCAATGAGTGGATGGGATGATTGTGAACATACCATATATCATTTTTTTGTTGGATCATTCCCCCTTTCCGTAGCTTTAGCACCAGTAAGTTTGTTTCTGGTGGACTTGGCCGACGGCCGCTTTCCGTTTTTTTTTCCGGAGAATCACCGTGATCATCACCATCATCCATCAGTACCCATTACCATCTGGTTATGACTAACATAGCCATGGTATAGATGGCCCATAGAAATAGATGGTTTACCGTTATTAAAAATGGGTGGATCTTTCCATGGCTATGTAACAAATAACCAGATGGTAATTACCGATTATGAATCATCATTAATCCATCATTAATTAACCGGTAATTAATGGTAATAATTGGTAATATGTAATGGTGATTTACCCACCATTAATCCATTATAAACCATAATCAACCATGATTAACCATTATCAACCATCATTCACCATCAACAGAATCAAAATCCTCATCCTGATCCGTGTCAGAGTTCCTTTTGGTCTTGTACATCATTGTCACCCATGGTCAAGAGTTGGATTTCATAAATTCTTTGCTGATAATACCTATGTTGGCGTGATGGTCATATCACCACACTAAATGATAAATAACATGGTCATTAATAAGCATGGATAATCCCATTATTAATACCATATTCCACAACAATCCCATTATTAATAGTTATTATGGGATAAATTGTATGGATGATAGTGCCCTAGCCAATGAATCCCATGGTTTTGTTTTGACCATGGCACACATTTTTCGTTTGACGTTCCTGAGTGATAAGCCCGACCATAAACCACACCCAATGACTTACCAAAAAAATGGTTGGGAAGAAACCGTCCGCAAACGGTCATGTACAGTATCCCATTCGCATTATGCCATCACTTTATATAGTTGTATATATATATATATATATATGTGTGTGTGTGTGTTATCCCATTTTATCCCATGATGTTTCGTTTTATACCGTCACATGTTGTATCCTTCCCCATACCATCCATTCTCCACATTTTTCTTGCTGAAATCCCAGTGTTGAGATTCCCTTGATCCCTTATATCCCATCAACATATCCATACTATCCCATCAACAAAACATAATAAAGGGAATATCCACGGGAATATCCATGGGAATATCCATAATATCCATATACCATATTAATCATGGGAATCCTGGATATATGATTAATATGGATATCATGGGTATGTGATATCCATGGGATATATCAATCCATATATCCATAATACCCTCTGGTAAACTCACAATCTAACATAACTATGGAAAATCACCATTTTCAATGGGTAATCCATTAATTCAATGGCCATTTTCAATAGCTATGTAAACGTTTACCAGAGGGTATCCATATTCCAACCCATATTTTTCACCATACCATCCCAGTGGCGAGATTCCCTTGATCCCTTTGTATCCCATCAACATATCCATACTATCCCATCAAGAAATCATACTATTCCAATCCATATTCCATATTCCAATCCATATTCCATATTCCAATCCATAATCCATAATCCTCATATCCCCATGATCTTCCTGCCATGGCCTCGAGGCTACACCCGGCTGCTGAATGACTTGCAGTCCATCCAATTCTCGCAGCCCATGGAGCGTTCAGCCGCTGGATAGACATTTCATTGGCAGGGTACTGGGACTATAAGATTTCACGTGTCTTTTTGTTTTAGAGATATAGACCTTATCAAGGGGTTACACGACATTCACACACACACATATATATATATATTGATATTACTATATGATTTTTGAGATGCAATATACAATATGCACAACAAACTGCACTAAGGCTAAGGTATGCCCAAAACATATCCATCAGTTGTTGCACATTTGTGATGACCTCAGTTTTGGCCAGGTAGGGTGTTTGAGGTTCGCCATGATGATGAATCCCATCCTGCTGATATTTGAAACCCGCGAACAAAAACAACATGTACCCCAACTCATGAATAAAAATCCGATACAAAACAGGGGCTTCGATTGGGGCTACATTAGGGGGAACAAAATTCTTGGACTATTCCCATTATAGTCCCAGTTTTCGATATTTCATTACATCCCCATTATATTCCTGTTATACCCCCATTATTCCGACATTATTGTATCCCCATTAACACTAATACCATTGCATTTCTAGTATTCCCACTGTTCCATTATAGTACCATTGTAATTACCATTGTATTCCTATTTTATTAAAGTCCTATGATTCCTATTATGTTTTGAATATTCCCAAGATACTCATGGAACCCACAACTTGATGACAGGATTGCCCAATTCCTAGAGCTGCAAGGCGTTGAACGGCTCGCTGGCCAGCAAGCTGGGTGGCAAGCGGGAAGACCCTCTGAAGCCAGGCTCGGTGGATTATTATTAACCACTTTAAAACATGATTGACCATATTAAAAATGTATTAACCATTGTTAAATTATTAACCCATTTTGAATCAATATCGTTATATAGTCATTTATCACCGTTTTGAACCACTATTAACCAGCATTACCTCACTATGAACCAGATTTATTAATCATTGTTTGTTGAAATGAATTCTCATGTCACTTCCACTTCCGCCAACTTCGACAGACGCCAGGCTTTTCGACAGCTCACTTCATTGGTGGCACTGTCGGCACCAACAAGCGAGCAGATCCTTTTTTCCTAGCAGTGTCCCGGCGTCCAGAAATGGTCTAAAAGAGTGATTATGGACCATGAATAATAGTTAATAATGGTTAAAAAGAGTGAATAATGGTTAATAATGGTTAAAAATGGTTTCAATGCTAATACTGATTTTATAATCATAATTTCATGGTCCGCAAGAGCGGCATGGGTACCACTTGATCACAAACAAGGACAAATTCAGAAGAAAAACGCCCTTGGAATTTTGCTCGTTGCACATGGCAATGGGCAAAGTGTCGGTAGTGCAAAAAAAAGAAGCTGGACTCCATACACCCATAGTATCCCATAGTCAGCTAAGTTGGTTTATAACCAGCTTAACTCTGGTTTATGGTACATAAACCAACAAACATAACTTGGGGGCCTTACCTTGGAGCATCCGGACCATTGGATGACCCAGGAACGCTATGAAATCCAGTGCGACTGCGACCCCTGGCAGCGAAAGGCGCAAGGTTTTGAGACAGACATGGTGACTGACTGTGGGGGTTTCTTAAAGGGTTGAAACAATCCAAAATTAGACCATATTATATTATATATAGTTACTAGTATTGAAATGCCCATGTGTGGACCCGGATTTTATGACCCCGCATTTGGCAAAGCCCGAAGCAAAACCATGTGTATTTCAGTGTTTTTGTCGGATGTTCTAAGATCTACAGATGACCTAAACCATTTTTTTCGGATCATATGAGTGTTTTAGCATTAGGACAGCAATCTCAGGTGCCATAAGCATAGCCTGCACCTTGAGACGTGGTTTTTTGTGTATTTTATAGATGCCTTAACGATGTAGTGTAGCCCCAGGGACTGCCTGTATAGAAATCCGTTTTGGGTGTAGGCATTAATGTCCTTGTTATCATGTGTTCTTTGTTCGGTATGTATGCCGCGTATGCCGCACAATTGCCATATGATGATTTGGAACCTTGGGATTTGGGGTACACTAAGGCCATTTTTGGACCAACCCATTTGGTGTTTGCCGCTGAGGAACTTATGGCAGAGCTGCTGAGATTCATCTACTGCGGTCACTCAGCGAGTTTACGGCACTGCTTTCAGACAATCAGCAAGTTTTATAACTAATCGACATCAATGGCTACAAGTCAGTTTCGTAAAGACAACCAATTGATCACACTATCAATGGATTGGTTTAAGGGAACACTTACAGGAAATCAGGTGTTCTACCATTAAGATATCAAGGTTTCCCGCAAAATTTCCTTCTAACCAATCCAATGGTGCAAAGCTAAGCAGCAGCCAGGGAAGGCCAGTCCAAACATTTCCCACGTCCGAGGTGAGATGTCGTTCTTCGAAGGACAGGAAGGAACACACAAGGTGCTATTGCCGCAGTGTGTGCATCATCCAACTGATGGTGAGACATTTTGACACCGAACCCATCCAAACCCTGTGTTGTTCTTTTAAGGTTGTATGCCAACCACCAGACGCAGCATAAACGGATTGGCTTTGCCATGCTTTGCCCAGGACTGGGTAGAGAATGGTAGATGCCCAAATTATTACCCGAATTGACGCCGTGATTTTCCGAAGGTCATTAGATTTCTAAGAGGATTTGGCTCCCCAGCTTCAGGGATTCTGACGCAGAAGCTGATGCCAGGCCAACGAGATTCTGACGCAGAAGATGCTCGCGATTTGCACCTCGCCTTACGGAGCCCCTGGATGGTTCCACCATATATGGAGCAACCATGGACGTGGAATCCGCCCCTCGAAACTCGTTTTATATCGGGGAAATGCCACTTCCATAACACTTTTTAGCTGAATGTTTTTTCAACATGGGGAGCTATAGGGGCCAGGGGACCTTACACACGTTCAAAAACCAATGGGGGAATGGAACAAAAACAGAACTTGCTGCAAGCACAAGATGGTCTAGATGACAGCCTTCTGAGTACCTGCTAAATAGCATGGCTTTTAGAAGTGCTGCTCGGTGGCTGCTTGCATGTTTTCACAGCCGCGTGGGGGTTAACGATCAGCTGGTGCCACGATGTGCCAAGCGGTGATCCTGCCGGTCACACGCGATCATTGCCCGAAGCCCGTGTCGCAGCAAGCGGATAAACACGGATCATGTGGGTAAAACAATCATCAACCACCTATTTTGGAATGGTTTATAGCACCTAATCAATTATTTATGGTGATGACTGGGGGATGGTTCATCGAGGCTTCGAGGCCGAGCGCTTCTCGGTGGATGCGTTGTACGAGAAGTTGCTGGCCTGGTTCGGCACGAGGTCCGCGGGAGCATGGAGGGAGCCACAGAAACCAGAGGAAAACCATAGGAAGATGGTGAAAACCAGAGGAAAACCAGAGGAAATTCATAGGAAAACCATGAAACATGATGATTTCATCAAGTTAATGGGGATTTCATGGGATTGCTGGTTTATGTGAGCTAAGTGGGTGAACATAACTTCTCGAACTATCGTTTTTGCATCATATAGAACTAGTTAATGGGGGAGGCACCACATTGTAGAAGCAGTGGCTGCGTTCGACACCTTTGTTGGTTGATGAGTTTGGGGGATTTATGGGGATTTAACGACCATTTTTATATATATATACCTGGAGTCTCCACTACCCTTCGTTTTTGGGGTCGTTTGCAAAACACCTCTTTTTTGGGTACGTTTGATACTTTTTGGGGTCGTTTCATGCAAAAAAGGCTTTTTATCTTCCAAGCAGGTGCTGGCTATATACACTAAGCATTACTAAGCTAAATCATGTGAGCGTTTTGTTCTTGTCCTGTGTAATGTTGGATCAGGCACCCTCACACATCATTCAGACCCAGGCGCATAACTAAAACATCATGGCTGAAAAGCTTTGGATCCACAATTCGTGTCGAAATATAAAACCTTCGCCTGCTTTTGATAATGAGCTGCGGGGGCAAACATTTGCACATTGCGACACTTATGCGAAAATATACACGGGGTTTGAGCACATCCACTCGCCCTGATCTTCTGGTGCCAGCTGCTGAAACAGTTTTGACGGATGGACGGACGGACGTGAAAAACTAGACGACGGATGGCCCGAGAGCGTAGAGGAGCAGAGTCTTCTGTTGTTAGTATGGAGACACTATATTACAAGATAATATGATAAAGATGTATTATAGGCAGACGAGAAGAGTAGTATCAAGACAATATATGACTAGTACAAGACAATAGTTTGCACCGTATTTTTGTAAAGTTTTTCATACACAGAACTTTTTACAGACAGACGCTTTTGCACACAGAGACTTTTACACACAGACGCTTTTACACACAGACGATTTTGCACACAGAGACTTTTACACCCAAACACTTTTACACACAGAGACTTTTACACACAGACGATTTTGCATACAGAGACTTTTACACCCAAACACTTTTACACACAGAGACTTTTACACACACAGACGCTTTTACACACAGAAGCTTTTACACACAGACGCTTTTACACACAGACGCTTTTACACACAGACGCTGTTACACACAGACGCTTTGACGCACAGAGGCTTTGACGCACAGAGGCTTTTACACACAGAAGCTTTTACACACAGACGCTTTTACACACAGACGCTTTTACACACAGAAGCTTTGACACACAGAAGCTTTTACACACAGACGCTTTTACACACAGACGCTTTTACACACAGACGCTTTTACACACAAACGCTTTTTACACATAGGCTCTTTTACACACAGACGCTTTTACACACAGACGCTTTTACGCACAGAGCCTTTTACACACAGACGCTTTTACACACAGACGCTTTTACACACAGACGCTTTTACACACAGACGCTTTGACACACAGACCCGTTTACACACAGAGGCTTTTACACACAGAAGCTTTTACACACAGACGCTTTTACACACAGACGCTTTTACACACAGACGCTTTTACACACAGATGCTTTTACGCACAGACGCTTTGACACACAGATGCTTTTACACACAGACGCTTTGACACACAGACGCTTTTACACACAGACGCTTTTACACACAGACGCTTTTACACACAGACGCTTTTACACACAGACTCCTTTACACACAGAGTCCTTTACACACAGACGCTTTTACACACAGAAGCTTTTTACACACAACACTTTCACACACAGAGGCTTTTACACACAGAAGCTTTTACACACAGGCGCTTTTACACACAGACGCTTTTACACACAAACGCTTTTGCACTTTTACACACAGACGCTTTTACACACAGACGCTTTTACACACAGAAGCTTTTACACACAGACGCTTTTACACACAGACGCTTTTACACACAGATGCTTTTACACACAGACGCTTTGACACACAAACACTTTTACACACAGAGACTTTTACACACAGACGCTTTTACACACAGACGCTTTTACACACAGATGTTTTTAGACACAGACGCTTTTACACACAGACGCTTTTACACACAAACGCTTTTACAGACAGATGCTTTTACACACAGACGCTTTTACACACAGACGCTTTTACACACAGACGCTTTTACAGACAGAGACTTTTACACACAGTTGCTTTTACACACAGACGCTTTTACACACAGACGCTTTTACACACAGAGGCTTTTACACACAGAAGCTTTTACACACAGACGCTTTTACACACACACGCTTTTGCACACAAACGCTTTTGCACACACAGTCTTTTACACACAGACGCTTTTACACACAGACGCTTTTACACACAGACAAGTCCGGCACAAGTAAACTCGCAATTTTTCCTCAGTTTTTGACGATCGACCCTCATTTCGTGCGAAAGGGTTGCTCCAGGACAAGTAAACTCGCAATTTTTCCTCAGTTTTTGACGATCGACCCTCATTTCGTGCGAAAGGGTTGCTCCAGGACAAGTAAACTCGCAATTTTTCCTCAGTTTTTGACGATCGACCTTCATTTCGTGCGAAAGGGTTGCTCGGGGACAAGTAAACTCGCAATTTTTCCTCAGTTTTTGACGATCGACCCTCATTTCGTGCGAAAGAGTTGCTCCGGCACAAGTATACTCGCAATTTTTCCTCAGTTTTTGACGATCGACCCTCATTTCGTGCGAAAGGGTTGCTCCGGCACAAGTAAACTCGCAATTTTTCCTCAGTTTTTGACGATCGGCCCTCATTTCGTGCGAAAGGGTTGCTCCGGCACAAGTAAACTCGCAATTTTTCCTCAGTTTTTGACGATCGGCCCTCATTTCGTGCGAAAGGGTTGCTCCGGCACAAGTATACTCGCAATTTTTCCTCAGTTTTTGACGATCGACCATCATTTCGTGCGAAAGGGTTGCTCCAGGACAAGTAAACTCGCAATTTTTCCTCAGTTTTTGACGATCGACCCTCATTTCCTTGGCGCTGATTTAAGCCCTTGCCACCTTTTACCATTTTGATTTTGGTGATGGTACTTTTTAAATCTCAACAAAAATCAAAAACACAAAATATGAAGGTCAACATTTTCCACAAATAGCGGGTGATGATTTTTCTATTTGTGATTCTTAGAGTAAATCAAGAAACAAAAATGCGAAGATCAAAATTCACCACGTGTCATATGACATTACAAAAGATTGGTGGGGGATTTGTTCACAATTTCCATGGGATGCTGTAAAAGTGTCCACTATGACTCAAAGGGGTGCTGTTCAAACAACATGTTGTTTTTGATGCTGGTGTTTGGTGATGGTTTTCCTATTTATGATTCTTAGAAAAATATCAAGAAACACAAATGTGAAGACCAAAATTTACCAAATGTCACAAGTCATTTAGAAAGATGGGTGGTGGATTTGTTCACAATTTTCCATGGTATGCTGTAAGAGTGTCCACTATGATTCAAACAGGGTGCTGTTCAAGTAACATGTTGTTTTTGATGTTGGTTTTTGGTGATTGTTTTTTATCCTTAGAAAAAGATCAAGAAACAAAACTGTGAAAATCATAGTTTTCCACATGTCATAAGTCATTGAAAAAAATGCTAGGGGGATCTGTTCACTTTTTTATTTGAAGAAATGGGTGGGGATCAGTTCATTTTTCCATGGGATGCTGTAAAAGTGCCAACTATGATTCAAAAGGGTGCTGTTCAAACAACATGTTGTTTTTGATGTGGGTTTCTGGTGATGGGTTTTCTGTGTGTGGTTCTTAGAAAAAATCAAGAAACAAAACTGTGAAGATCAAAATTTACCACATGTCGCAAGTCATTTTAAAAGGTAGGTGGGGCATCTGTTCACATTTTTCCCTGGGATGCCGTAAAAGTGTCCGCTATGACTCAAAAGCGTGCTGTTCAAACAACATGTTGTTTTTGATGTTTCTTCTCCATTATTCAAAAGTCATCTCATACAATGTGCAAAGCAAATTTTCTCATGTAAGTTCCAGGTCCGTGCAAAAAATATCTATCATAGTTCATATTGCAGCGCCCTTTTTTTAATTCTCCCGGATGCTGTAGAAGCATCCATTTTATTTGTCTGACACTGGTGTAAATATTTGGGCATTATGGAGTTTTAAAGTCATTTGTGGTTGCCTCTGTTCAACGTGCCACCACAGAAAACATTGATCTTTTGTGATGCTGCAGCCCATATCGGACAGACACAGAAGTTGAAGGAGGGGGGGGCAGGGCGACCAAACAAATACACTAAGGCAAAAACAATCAATCAGGTTCAATTTAATGGGTATTTCTATGTTTGGTTTCGTTGTTTCCTGCTGGCCTGCAGCCTTCAAGCCATGTGTGCTTTGGACCACATCTCAATTGCAACTTGTGCTGGCAATGAGAACTTAGCGCTGCATCTTCCGGTTGCTGCTGTAAAAGTGGCTTCCAAATTGAAAACAATTTCCACAGTTTGCTGTAAACATTTGGCCAAACAATTTTATATATAGGTCTAAAGATAATGAGAGGGAAACTGAGACATCGGTATTGGTGTTGCTACATACTTGCCAAAGGTATTCGATAATGGTGGCACATTGTTTTAATTTTCCTGTGCAGTGCTCACCCTTGAGCTCTCAGGGCATCTTCACCGTCGGTCGCTCGTCTCAAAACTGAGCTCAGGGGGCTCTTAGTGCTGTAAAACTGCTAATCCCCGGATGCTGTAAAAGTGTCCAAGCGGGCTCTTAGCGCTGTAAAAGTGCTAATCCCCGGATGGTGTAAAAGTGTCCAAACAGCGCTGTAAGAGCGCTGCAAGGGTTGGACTTGAAGGGCGCTGTAAAAGTGCCTGGACCTACAACCTGCACTGCGAGAAGACCAAGAGTCCGGAAGCTTCAAGATCTTTCACATCAAGTTCAGAGGCGGGGTCAGCGGCAATTTCCAGCTATAAAACATATATAATAAGCAAAAGACAACCCCACCACCATCCACTACTAAGACCTCTAAATTTAGTTATAATCACTTCAGGCACTTAATGAATTTATAAGTATCTGATAAGTTGCTAGTATCCTGCTAACATCTTGTTTAAATTGTATTAGTAAAATTAAGTTATTTTAAGTTCCACTTGGTTTTTAAGTGAACTTATAACATAATAATGAAATTATAATCAAATAAAGTAGAAGACTAAATGAAAATAAGTAAATATAAGTGAAACTAAGTAAAAATAAGTGAAGATAAGTGAAAATAAGTGAAATGCATGTTTTTTTCGATTGAATAACAGAATTGGATTGCAACAAACACCAAATGATCTGAGGTGAAAATGGTTGCTGCCCAGGAATAGTTGGAGAAATGGATACCTGAAAACTATGATTGATGTAAAGGAAAGTTCCAGTAAAAGGAGATTCCATACTTTTCAGGAACTCTCCTTTGCTGTAACTTTCCTTTACAGGAACCATCCTTTTCAGGAACTCTCATTTACTGGAACTTTCCTTTACAGGAATCATGGCTTTCAGGCACTCTCCTTTGCTCGGAACTTTCCTTTACAGGAACCATAGTTTTCAGGAACCCTCCTTTGCTGGAATTTTCCTCTGCAGGAACCATCCTTTTCAGGAACTTTCCTCTACTGGAACTTTCCTTTACAGGAGCCATCCTTTTCAGGAATCCTGCAAAGGAACGTTCCAGTTAAGGAAAGGTCCCAAAACGGACCCTACTTTAAGCCTTTAAGCCAATTTATCTTGAAAAAAGGAAAATTTTCTGAAAATTCAGGTTCTTGAAAAGGACAACTGAAACCTGAGAAAATCCAGAAAAGTCAGAACATATTTAAATACAAAAAAAATCTGAATCCCAAAAAATCATAAATTCACAAAAAATAGCATCCAGAAAACTTAGAAAATTCAGAATCCAGAAAATCATGAAATAAAAAACAGAAACTTTCTATAGAAACAAAAAAAGAATCGATAAGATTCAGAAACCAAAAAAAAACATAGAATCCAGAAAACCAAAAAAAATGGAATCCCGAAAATCTAGAAAATTCAGAATCCAGAAAAATCAGAAAATCATAAAAAAATCTAGAAAATTTAGAAACCAAAATAACTGGAATCTAGAAAATTTAGAAAATTGAGAAATCTTAAAAAAAATCCAGAAAATTTAGAAACCAAAAAAACTGGAATCTAGAAACTCTAGAAAATTCAAAATCCGCAAAAAAATCAGAAATCTTAAAAAGAATAGATTCTAGAAAATTTAGAGACCAAAAAAACTGGAATCTAGAAAATTTAGGAAAATCAGAATCCAGAAAATTCAGAAAATCTTCAAAAAATAGATTCCAGAAAATATAGTAGCCAAAAAAAACTGGAACCTAGAAAAATTATAGAAAATTCAAAATCCAGAAAATTCAGAAATCTAAAAAAATATAACCCATAAATTTTGTAAAAGCAAGAAAAAATAGAATCCAGAAAATTCAGAAAATCAAAAAAAATAGAATCCAGAAAATTTAGAAACTACAAAAAAATCTGGAGTCTAGAAAATTTATAAAAATCAGAATCCAGAAAATTCAGAAATTCTGAAAATTCAGAAATTCAGAAAGGTCTGAAAAATTCAGAATTTTCAGAGATTTTTTAATATCTATATATATATATATGTAGAAAAGAATTCTGAAAATTCAGAATTTTCAGAAAATTCGGAATTCAGAAATTTCAGAAAAAGAAGAAAATAACAAACACATAGAATCCAGAAACTCTACAAAATTCAAAATCCGCAAAAAAAATGAGAAATCTTTAAAAAAATAGATTCTATAAAATTTAGAAACCAAAAAAAATGGAATCTAGAAAATTCAGAAAATCTAAAAAAATAGATTCTAGAAAATTTAGGAACCAAAAAAACTGGAATCTAGAAAATTTAGAAAATTCAGAATCCAGAAAATTCAGAAAATCAAAAAAATATATATAGACTCCAGAAAATTTAGAAACCAAAAAAATGGAATCTAGAAACTTTAGAAAATTCAGAATCCAGAAAATTCAGATTTTTTTTTTTAAAGAAAATTTCTATAGAAAATTTAGAAACCAAAAAAACTGGAATCTAGAAAATTTTGAAAATTCAGAATCCAGAAAATTCAAAAAATCTAAAAAAAATAGATTCTAGAAAATTTAGAGACCAAAAAAACTGGAATCTAGAAAATTTGGAAAGTTCAGAATCCAGAAAATTCAGAAAATCAAAAAAATAGATTCTGGAAAATTTAGAAAACCAAAAAAAAACTGGAATCTAGAAATTTTTGAAAATTCAGAATCCAGAAAATTCAGAAACCTAAAAAAAATAATCCAGAAAAATTCTGAAAGCAAAAAAATAGAATCCAGAAAATTCAGAAAATCCAAAAAAAATGGACTCCAGACAATTTAGAAAACCCAAAAGAAAAAAAGGATCCAGAGTTTTTAGAAAATCCGTAAAAATACACTTCAAAAAATCTAGCCAAAACAAATCAGAACCCAGGAAAATTTAGAAAACCAAGAAAGAAATAAGATCTAGAAAAATAGAAAAATCAGAATGCAGAAAATTTATTAAATAAAGAAACAGACAAATCATAAAATCAAAAAAAAGGAACCAGAAACATTTGATAACTTACAGCTCCAAATAATTTACAAACTCAAAAAATTGAGATAATGTAGAATTCAATTAATTTAGAATTAAAAAAAGGAAAGCGCATTCCCCTGAGGACGCTACATTCAACCTGAAAGAGTCATTGCAGAAACGTCCCATTTCAGGAACTACATCCTTTTCAGGAGTTACCGTTTCAGCATCTTAAGTTTCTAAATGTTTTTTGTTTTTAAATATATAAATAAATAAATAAATATATATATATATTATTTTCCAACATATTTTACTTAACAATCATTACAAGCAGCTATGAGAGAATCTATAGTATGACTCGCAGCCATGCTTTAGCAGCTAGCCTGTGCTGAAAAGTTGCTTCTTTCTCTGCCATGGCTCCCAAGGCAAAGGATATAGTTCCTGAAAAGGATGGTTCCTGAATAGGAAAATATCCTGAAAATGGTAATAGATGTTTAAAAATGCAAACTGACCCAAAACTTTTTACTTATTTCTTATAATCAATTGTGTTTTTCAAAATGTATGACGGAAAAATCTTCATCTATGATCAATTCTAAAACTTTGAAAAGCTATAAAAATAACTAAAATAAGTGAAAATAATGTGAAAATAATTGAACATAAGTAAAATACACTTCTATCATAAGTTCAAATAAGTAGTAATATTTTCATTAAGTGCCTAAAGTGAAAATAATTAAATTTAGAGGTCTCAGTACCCATCCCATCCCGCCGTCCACATCCCATATCACCAACCCACCCCATCACCAACCCACCTTTTTCCCATCATCCCCATCCCATCATCCATGCTTATGAGATAAAGAGTATAGTATATACAGGCACGATGGCTGCAACCTCAGTGTCGTTCTTGCCAAGCATTGAATTGCTGCTGTAAGAGTGGCTGGCACATGGAAATTGAACATGACTTTCAATATCTTTAAATGGTATTATGCTCTCAAGCATTGAATTGCCGAATTGCCGCTGTAAGAGTGGCTGGAAAGCAAGGTGCATCACGGCTTATATAGACATGACATTCTATTTCTTTAGATTCATACAATAGAAAAAATATAGTATACGTATGCAGGCCCATCATGGCTGCAACCTCAGCCTCGATGTTGGCAAGCGTTGAAATACGGCTGTAAGACTGGCTGGCACATGGCAATTGAACATGACTTTCAATATCTTTCAATTGTATGATTGTGCTCTGAGGAGTGCTCCGCGATGTTTTTCCTGACAGTGGGAGTGTACCTGGGCAGCACTGACATCAGAAAATTGAATGCAACTTACATGTCTACTTGCGATTGTTTCATGGACACTCTTACAGCATCTCCACAAGACAGTCTTGCCCCAAAGCCCTAATTTGTAGACACTTTTACAGCGTCTACAGAAAAGATGCAGTGCTGCAACATCTTTTTTGCCCAGCGGAGTATACTGTGTGTCTGTGCGATGTGTTGTGAAACATGGCGCAGCCAGCCGCCCGTGATCGTGATTGATCTGTGCTGTAAGAGTGCGCTGCTGTTTCATTCCAACAGTGTGGGGTTATAGTCTAGTTATAAATAAATATATATATATAAATATGATCCAGATCTGATTATTATGCTAAGTAGTAAGCATCTTGTGGCAGTGCGCTGTAAGAGTGCGCTGCTGTTTCATTCCAAGACTGTGGTGTTGTAGTTATGTGATCCAGCTTTCATTACTATGCGAAGTAGTAGGCATCTTGTTGCGCTACACAGCATGCTGAAGTGCAAAGCTACACTGTCTCATGTACCAGCACTCTCACAACGCTGGGTTCAGGCACTCTTACAGCGCCACAATGACACATGGCAACTGTGGCTGTGGAGTTGTTAATGGGATTTATGTTGTTAATGAGATTTATATATTAATATATAAATATATTCCTCATTCAGCTTGGTTGTTTTGCTTCCTTTTTCAGTTTGGTGCATTTGCGGTACGGCTTTTGCACTTGGTACGCTGTGGTACTCTGCGGTACGGCTTTTGCACTTGGTACGCTGTGGTACTCTGCGGTACGGCTTTTGCACTTGGTACGCTGCGGTACTCTGCGGTACTCTGCGGTACGGCTTTTGCACCTGGTGTGGTACTCTGCGGTACGGCTTTTGCATTTGGTACGCTGTGGTACTCTGCGGTACGGCTTTTGTACTTGGTGTGGTGCTCTGCGGTACGGCTTTTGCACTTGGTACGCTGTGGTACTCTGCGGTACCGCTTTTGCACCTGGTATGGTACTCTGCGGTACGGCTTTTGCACTTGGTACGCTGCGGTACGGCTTTGCACTTGGTACGCTGCGGTACCCTGCGGTACAGCTTTTGCACTTGGTACGCTGTGGTACTCTGCGGTACGGCTTTTGCACTTGGTACGCAGCGGAACTCTTCGGTACAGCTTTTGCACTTGGTACGCTGTGGTACTCTGCGGTACGGCTTTTGCACTTGGTACGCTGTGGTACTCTGCGGTACGGCTTTTGCACTTGGTACGCTGTGGTACTCTGCGGTACGGGTTTTGCACTTGGTGTGGTACTCTGCGGTACGGCTTTTGCACTTGGTATACCCCTGCGGTACGGCTTTTGCACTTGGTACGCTGTGGTACTCTGCGGTACGGCTTCTGCACTTAGTACGCTGCGGTACGCTGCGGTACGGCTTTTGCACTTGGTGTGGTACTCTGCGGTACGGCTTTTGCACTTGGTACGTTGCACCTGGTGTGGTACTCTGCGGTACGGCTTTTGCACTTGGTACCCTGCGGTACTCTGTGGTACGGCTTTTGCACTTGGTGTGGTGCTCTGCGGTACGGCTTTTGCACCTGGTGTGGTACTCTGCGGTACGGCTTTTGCACTTGGTACGCTGTGGTACTCTGCGGTGCGGCTTTTTGCACTTGGTGTGGTACTCCGCGGTATGTCTTTAGCAGTTGCTCATGGGTGGCCCCATGCATCGCACCGTACCGTTCTAATAAGTTTTTGCCAAATATCTTGATCAAAACAGGAAACTGTCACTAAGCCGGGGGGTGGAGTACCCCCCCCCCAGTGGCTGACCCCATCGCTGGGAAGCGTCACTAACCCCTAGCGTCACCAAGGTGCAAGTATGATTCTGCATGCGTCAATAGACTCTTGCCAGGGGTTGTTCTGCAGGTGCCTGGGGGTTAGTGACGCTTCCCATCGATGGGAGCAGCCACTGGGGGGGGGGGTACTCTACCCCCCCCCTCAGTGACACTGCTGAGGATGAGGGGTGGGCAAGAATGGCGCTCGAATAAGCTTTGGCCACAATCCCTTAGTGACACACTCCAACGATGGAGTGTGTCACTAAGCGATTGTGGCCAAAGCTTATTCGAGCGCCATTCTTGCAGGCACGCAAGGCATACCGCAGCGTACCAAGTGCAAAAGCCGTACCGCAGAGTACCGCATCGTACCAAGTGCAAAAGCCGTACCGCACAGTACCACAGCAGGTGCAAAAGCCATACGGCAGAGTACCACACCAAGTGCAAAAGCCATATACCGCAGAGTACCATACCAAGTGCAAAAGCCGTACCGCAAAGTACCACACCAGGTGCAAAAGCCGTACCGCAGAGTACCACAGCGTACCAAGTGCAAAAGCCGTACCGCAGAGTACCACAGCGTACCAAGTGCAAAAGCTGTACCGCAGAGTACTGCAGCGTACCAAGTGCAAAAGCCGTACCGCAGAGTACCACACCAGGTGCAAAAGCCGTACCGCAGAGTACCACAACGTACCAAGTGCAAAAGCCGTACCGCAGAGTACCACACCAGGTGCAACGTACCAAGTGCAAAAGCCGTACCGCAGAGTACCACAGCGTACCAAGTGCAAAAGCCGTACCGCAGAGTACCACAGCGTACCAAGTGCAAAAGCCGTACCGCAGAGTACCAGACCAGGTGCAAAAGCCGTACCGCAGAGTACCACAACGTACCAAGTGCAAAAGCCGTACCGTAGAGTACCACAGCGTACCAGGCGTACCAAGTGCAAAAACCGTACCGCAGAGTACCACACCAAGTGCAAAAGCTGTACCGCAGAGTACCACAGCGTACCAAGTGCAAAAGCCGTACCGCAGAGTACCACAGCGTACCAAGTGCAAAAGCCGTACCGCAGAGTACCACAACGTACCAAGTACAAAAGCCGTACCGCAGAGTACCACAGCGTACCAAGTGCAAAAGCCGTATCGCAGAGTACCACAGCGTACCAAATGCAAAAGCCGTACCGCAGGGTACCACACCAAGTGCAAAAACCGTACCGCAGAGTACCGCACCAAGTGGAAAAACCGTACCGCAGAGTACCACAGCGTACCAAGTGCAAAAGCCGTATGCAGAGTACCACAGCGTACCAAGTGCAAAAGCCGTACCGCAGAGTACCACAACGTACCAAGTACAAAAGCCGTACCGCAGAGTACCACAGCGTACCAAGTGCAAAAGCCGTACCGCAGAGTACCACAGCGTACCGAGTGCAAAAGCCGTACCGCAGAGTACCGCAGAGTACCGCAGCGTACCAAGTGCAAAAGCCGTACCGCAGAGTACTGCAGCGTACCAAGTGCAAAAGCCGTACCGCAGAGTACCACAGCGTACCAAGTGCCAAAGCCGTACCGCAGAGTACCACAGCGTACCAAGTGCAAAAGCCGTACCGCAAACGCACCAAACTGAAAAAGGAAGCAAAACAACCAAGCTGAATGAGGAATATATTTATATATTCATTTATAAATCCCAATAACAACTCCACAGCCATAGTTGCCATGTGTCATTGTGGCGCTGTAAGAGTGCCTGAACCCAGCGCTGTGAGAGTGCTGGTACATGAGACAGTGTAGCTTTGCACTCCAGCATGC